CGGAACGTGACACTCCGATCCATATACTATCCTAGTGTCGGAACGTGACACTCCGATCCTCATATACTATCCTGGTGTCGGAACGTGACACTCCAATCCTCATATACTATCCTGGTGTCGGAACGTGACACTCCGATCCTCATATACTATCCTGGTGTCGGAACGTGACACTCCGATCCTCATATACTATCCTGGTACCGGAACGTGTCACCCGATCCCCTAATCTCACTACTTTCGTTCATCAAGCCTTCTTTTATACCAAGGCATCATCATTAACAAAGTAGATTAGGGTTTCTCAAGATTTAGGATTCAATAGCTTCATCATGCTTATTTTATCACAATTATATAATCACATTCATGCAAGCATATAATTAAGCATATAGAAGGGTTTACAATACTACCGATACATATCATTCGCTATTAAGAGTTTACTACGAATAGTATAAAAACCATAACCTACCTCCACCGAAGATTAGTGATCAAGCAAGCAAATTTCTCAAAGCTTTGTGTTTTCCTCTTCTCGATCGATCCTCTCTCTCTCTTCTTGTTCTTTCTATTTTTCTTATTGAAATCCTCTTTCTTTTACCCTAATTAGCATATAATTAAGAATAAAAGATGTTAATAATAACCCTCTAATTAACTTAAGGTTACCTCTTTTAACCCCCAAGAAATTAGACTTATTAACATTAACCCACTAACTTTATAATTAAAGCAGGAATAGTCAAAAACGTCACTTAAAACATTAAAGAAATCCGACTCAGCCTGGGATTATGCAGCCTGTGATGGCCCGTCGTGCCTGCGACAGTCCGTCCTGCTGCCCCGTCACAGAGTTCAGAGACTCAATTTCCTTGAAGAATCTGTGACGGTCCGTCGTACCCACGACGGTCCGTCCTGCCATTCCGTTACGAAGTTCAGAAAGTCGATTTCAGTACCCAAATTTCTGAATTCTAAGTATTTTGGAACGAGACCCCCTCGACGGTCCGTTGTGCCCATGACGGTCCGTCGTGGGGTCCGTCGTTTCTGCCAGTTTTTCCAGAATCAAAGTCTGCTGCTCAAAACGACTAAATAGGTCGTTACAATATCATATTCATGTAAAATGTATTCTTAAATAATTGAATATCTACCAATGTAAAAAAAATATAAAGGAATGAATTAAAATTGATACATTTTTCAGAATTAACAACAATTGTCCACAAAATAAAAGAATAAAATAGCAACGTAAATACAAACTACAAACTAATAAATATTGTGTAGTGTACATAAGATATTTATAAATATATTCAATACACATTGTTGAACAAATTTTTCTTTAACTTCAACTCAACATACAAAAATCTAAACATGCAAAAATAATTAAACACCTCTTCCTCGACTATTTGGTCTTCTCCCTCCTTTTCTTGTACTCTACGAGTAGACGAAGATATTATGTTTTCAATTTGAATTTGAGGAAGACTTTGTTCAGATTGTCTCTCTTCCCTCATTTTAAAAGCGGATCCTACATTATCCGTTATTTCTTGAGTAATACATAGATTAAAGGATGGAAAATCACTAGAAATCTGATGATTAAGGTGAATACCTCTAGTAAGTCTCTTAGATACATTCATCGAAGAGTGTTTTAGAGGTTTAATTGAGAATTATCCTACTTTCACCATATATGAATGATTTAGACAACAATAAAATCAAAAAATAAATCTAAAAAAAAAAAGATAAAGATGAAATACCTTAATTAGTGAGATTTGTGTGAATCCAGATTTTGAAGATAAAAAAAACAACAAATAATACGATAGAAGAGAAGAGGAATTTCAAAGTCGGATCAGAATATGAAAAGGAAAATATGGAAGAGAGAGAAAAACTTTTTTTTACATATGACATAAATTTGGAAGAGAGAGATACGGGAAAACGTGAACAATAAAAATTAAAGATTTTATTTTTATAAAAAATAAAAATAATTCGGTAACGTAAACAATGGGATATACATGGGAAATGTAAATAAAATAATTTCTTTTTATATATATATAAAATTAGTTGGAAAACGTGCAAGCAATAGGTGATAAAATAGGGGTTTAATTAGGATACATATTCTTTTTCAAAATAATGACATTTTGACATTTTTACTAATATTTTTAAGGGAAACTTTCACATATAGCCACTTAAAAATAATTAATTACTATTCATAGCTATAATTTGATAATTACAATTTGTAGCTACATGTTATATGGAGGAGAGAGGCAAGCGAGATTGGGAGAGAGAGGAGAGAGGCGAGAGAGAGGGAGAAAAGAGTGAGAGAAAGGTGAATTTTATATGTATATGGTTAGATAATTGTATATTATATATATGTATTTGTATATATGACAAGAGAGATTGGGAGAGGGAGGAGAGAGATGAGCGAGACTGGAAGAGGGAGGAGAGAGGCGAGCGAGATCGAGAGAGGGAAGAGAGTGGGAGAGAGGTGAATTTTATGTGTATATAATTGTATATTTTACACATACATTTGTATATAGGACAAACGAGATTGGGAGAGGGAGGAGAGATATGAGCGAGACTGGAAGAGGGAGGAGAGAGGCGAGCGAGATCAAGAGAGGGAAGAGAGTGGGAGGGAGGTGAATTTTACGTGTATATAATTGTATATTATACACATACATTTGTATATAGGGCAAACGAGATTGGGAGAGGGAGGATAGAGGCGAACGAGATTGGAAGAAGGAGGAGAGAAGCAAGCGAGAGAGGGCAAAGAGTGGGAGAGAAGTGAATTGTATATGTATATAGGTTAAATAATTGTATATTATACATATGTATTTGTATATTCTGGCGAATTAACATACACAAACATGACTAATTATAAAAATTTGAAGTCAGCCCACGTAATTAATATATAATGTTAGTCACAAGTGGTAATTATAGAAAACTATAGCTATCATGAATAATTAAATAGTATAAATTTGCTTTGTTGCGTAATTTTCCTTATTTTTAAAGTGGTGAGGTTTTTACTAATTAAGTCATTGATTTGACTAATTCGCTAATTTTTCCCTTTATTCATTATGTACTCTATGTTAATTTTATACAAAAAAATTCTTTATTTCTACATATATATATATATATATATATATATATATATATATATATTATATTCTGTAGCAAAGTTAATGGATGCTCGAGCACCCGGCAGACTCCATGTGGGTCCGCCAAATTTGTTAATTTATTTTTGTCATTTTATTTTCAACAGTAATTTATATTATTCGTGGTATAATACACCAACATGTATTACTTAAACATTTGTCTCACTATTTTGTTGACGATTATATATGAAAAAGAACTCTGGTGAAATATGTCTATCTGATCTCATTTGATGTATTATTTCTTTGATTAAGTTATATTGCAATATTATCTTCGTACATGTGATTGGAATACTCGTTTTTAGAGAAATCTCTCATTTTTTACAAATATAAAGAATCATTGATCTCAATCAAACACACTCTCGACTTGCTTCATGAATAAATATTATTTTAAGATATTGATGTGTCTCCACACGTAAACAAATAACTCATTTAAGATCGAACATTTGCGGATCAATAAGTATCTTGCATATGCACATTATATTAATAACTTATGACCTAAATATATAAAGAAAATATTATTTTATGACAATGAAAATCCGCAGGCGCTACATTTTGTGTGACAGGTAAAAACATCCTCCTATGCAATAATTCGCAAACCATATAGGAGAGGTAACCCAATTTTTTTTTTTTTTTATGAGAATTGATTCTACATGAGTTTTAGGGTTTTGGACAGCAACTCAGTAGTTTGAGTTCATAGCTACTTTTTTCAAATCAAACATGCAGCCACCCACTCCATCTTTAAGTCGTAACTTCACCATTACGTTGCGGTGTGCGATCAATCTTGTCGGCATTCCATTTTACTAGTGAGAGAGAGCCTTTGGATTCAGAGAGACTGAAAAATTGGAAGAAAGATATTTTTTTAAGTTTAGGAATTTAATTTAATTTTAACATTTTATTTCTTATATGGCAATTAAAAATAACGTAAAATTTGACGATTGATATTGAGTGATTGTATCTCACATACCATCCATCACATGAGAAAGGGTTTAAAATAACGAATTTTCAACAAGTTCAGTTAGTAAAGTGTTAAGTACATGTGTTCACAATACAACTCTTTTACTTAAAAAAAAATTAATAATATTTATTTATAAAAACTCTTTCACATTTTTTGAATTAAAAGAAAATGAGAAATGCTTTGACAAGGATTTTTGCCCGACGCCGGTATGATTCAGAGGAATATTTGGCCATATTACGCCTAGAAAATGAATAAAGCTGTTTGGGAGAAGTACCAACTACCAACAGGTTAAAGAAAAGCGAGGTAACCTTATTATTCATTTCTAATTTGAGTCTTTTATGGAAAATTTGAGTCTGTATTTTAAGGTGATTTAGGAGTCTGTAGTTTGCCTAACGGACCTGTATATGGAAAGTTTTTAGTCAAAATTAGCAATATTTTAAGGTGATTTTGGAGTATATAGTTTGCATAACAACCTGTGTATGAATCTAGGGTACTTCCCAGCAGCCTCAACCTGTTTATTTCATTCATTTCACCAAAATGACTAAAAAGTAGGCTTCATTTGCAGCTGGTTTGTTTAAATATTGAACACGATAGTAGATGATAGTAAGATGAGCTTAAATGGAGCATCATCATCTTATTCAGTAGTCTGTACTGTGGACAGTGTACACAAGTCTACATGGGGTGGAATGCAGTGGTGGAGCTAGGATTTTTAATAAGGGGTTCAAAATATGAAGGACTAAACGCACGAACTAATCAAAGGGGGTTCGATATCTACTATATATACATAAAATATAATTCTTAACCATGTATGATAATATTTTCTCTGTCCCAATTTATGTGATTACTTTCCTTTTTAGTCCATCCCAGAAAGAATGAAAGATTTCTATGTTAAGTAACAATTTAACTATAAAATGTCTATTTTAATGAGATGATTTATAGCCACACAAATTTCTATAATACATTTTGGACCACAAGTTTTAAAAGTCTTTCTTTCTTAAATTCCTTGCCGAGTCAAACTACCTCACATAAAATGGAAGTAATATTTTCGGCCGAAGGGGTTCGGATGAACCTCCTAACAGAAGGCTGCCTCCGCCCCTGGTGGAATGGACAAAGCCACTCATTATGAGCAACCTGTTGGAATGCCGGTAGCATCAGAGGATGACATTAGAGCAAAGGAAATCTGGAGAACTATCCTTCATGCGTAATATGGATGGTCTGGTTGGAAAGAATGGAGGTGTTTTGAATTAAGGCCAAAAAGTCATATCCGTTGTTAATTTTTTTTTAGACATTTGTTGTACTTTTTTATCCTGGTGCAAGGCTAGGACAGCTGACATTTTTTGGCAATTTCTAGATTTCGTGAAAATGCTTAATTGAAATTGTAACAACTTCCCTACTTGGTACTAACTATTCAATCATCTTGCCTTGTAAAAAACGCACCATGTTATTTGGTACTTCCAAGTCAGTGTATCTTTGGATACTTGCCTGATATAGGTTCTACAATTTTTCTGAAGGCTAACTAATTACATAGAAAAATGGATGCAATAGGTGATATTTGTGGTGCATTGTACTTCTGCAGGGATTTGATATCACCAGATTATCCCGTACAGTGTGCGATGACAACTGTCTACCCTGTGCCATACTACTTGAATGATCCTAAGAATGTTGAGATACAATTATGAAATGGTATACTGTAGATGCACTTTCCTTGTCTTTACTTGTTGTCCTTTTTTTTTTGTTTTCTTTCAGTATCTAAGAAAATTGCTTGACTGATTTTTAGGGCATCAATTATGAGGTCAATGACATTTTGACGGTGGACGGAGGTGGTTGTCGTGACTTCGTCTTCTATATCACCTCTTCTGTCAAAACGCCTGATGGTAAGGATGTCATTTTGACGGTGATCAGGCCGAAGGTAAAAGCTTTTATTGGTTAAGGCTGCTATCAGCAACATTATGTCATACATTCTATTTCTTCTGATATTTTTAGTGTGCTCATATTTCTTCAGATGCTTTCAGCATGTTTTATTTATAACCAGAGTCTTAATAGAATCATGTGTCTATGAGATTAGGCTATTGTACCACAAAATCAGTAATTGCGTATCAGAATGGATACCAGAGTTGCTTTGTCATGTTATGTAATTTGTATGTCTGGTAAATTTAACTGATAGTATGTGCTATCTCCCCTTTGCCAGTGATCTTTAACTTTTAGTTTAATGAACAAATACATTAATTTTGAAGGGGTAAATTTCAGTAAAAATAGCACTGCCCGAGAAGTTCTTTACTGCCTTTTTTCCTCTTAGCGCTGCTTTATATTCACCTTAAGGATGTTAAATAAGTGCTTGGGTAACTAGAAGCTTAGAGAGCAGTGATGCTCCAGTAGTTCCTAAATTGACGTGTAAATCTCTAGTCTGAAACGTGAGTTTGCTAAGTCGAAAACCCCCCACCTTATAGTAGGGTTCACCGAGATGGTTACTAAATTTATGATACTCATAAGTTTTACTCCGCCCAAGTAGATAGCTGAGTGGTCAAATGAACCGTGTTTGTGCCTTTTCTCCATCTCTCAACCTACCTTTTGCAAAAAAATAAATAAATATCATCTCCATTGTGATGAGCAGGCAGGTTTGGCTTTCTGTTACCAGGCAGAGCTTTTGAAAAAAAATTTTAGTAGATTTTGATTGCAATGGAGTTCACTGATTAATAATCAAAAATGAAGTTTGAGGTCTAATCGCAATGTTTTTTTGTTGTTATTGCTTCAATATGTGTATCCCCTTTTCAAACTATTTGGCAAAGCTTATTTAAGGTTTATTGAAAACAACCTCTCTATTTCTACGAGGTAGGGGTATGCGTACACTCTACCCTCCTCGGATCAGACCTCACTTGTGGGATTACAGTATGTTGTTGTAATTTAGGAAAGGATTCTTTTTTGAACATTGTTTAAAAGCGAACTTGGCAATTGTTAGTATGCAAATTTCTCATTGTTTCAAATCCATCTCAAGCACAGTTTTCTTGCATTGTACACAGAGACTTCTAGCCACAATATGCAAAATTTTCTTGAATAATCTCACTTTGCAGTAGGGGCTTGCCTACGGACAAAGCTTTAATAGCTTGGTTTGCCTGTTTGACTCCATAAAAGGGGCTAACTTCTGAAGCCATGCTTACCTAGCAAGTCATCAAATGGAAATGGATGGTCACTTTTAGTAAGAGGACATCTTATTTTTGGGTATAGGGTAAGAAGGAACAAGCCACCATTTGTGCTTGTGTTCTTAAACGTAAGGAATATAGACCAATCAGGATGAGGCAAATTTTTCGTCCTCTAAAGGACAACAAGGAGATGTCAATTATAATTGCTGCAAGTTCCTGTTTGTTTAAAGAAACAATCTTTTGATAACCTTACCTGGTCTAACTTGGATTTTGGATCACTGTCAATCAAGAAGCTACCTAGGCAGCGTCCTTGCACCAGATGCTGCTGCAGCTGCATCATTATGTAAGGGGCTTTTTAGTTTATAATTATCTGGGCCTCCAAATCATATTTTTCAAAAACGATGTTACCAACTGAAATCTCTTTATGCCTTTTGAATAGCTCTCATAATGTTCTTTATTTAGTTTCAAATAGCCGGATTCTCTAAATCAAGTATGTATCTGGAAGATTCTGCCACTGCCTTTTCTGGATTTTGCTCTATATCATGTGGAGTTCTATATTAGAAATCCAAATGAATTAAAAGATTCCGTAATTTTGCCAGCCTTGCTACAGCACTAAGTTAGATCCCTTGTATTTGGTGCTGGAAAGTCTGAAGCATTTCTGCATGCTGTCAACTATTTCTTGCCTGTGCTTTTTTCCTTTGATAAGGGATTTCTTGCCTGTATTCTCAAGTATTTATACCTAGTGATAAATGTCAGTTTAACAACTTCAGCTGGTGTAATTGGGTTAATTTTGCAGATTCAGTAAGTATCCTCATGACATCTTTGAAGTGTTAGGATTTGTTTAGTGCCTGAGTTTTGATGTACCTTCCTTTCTTTTTATCAAAAGATTAAAAAAAATCTTGATCCTTTGAGTGCTTCAGATCTTGGTCATAATTAAGCTCACCTCCTCTAATGTGCGGAAAACAAATTTGGTCTTATTACTCTATGGAGTTATTTTCTTGAAGATTCCGTAAATCATATGTAGGTTATGGTTCTCATATTTCATCTATTAGCAGTATTTCACTAGTACAAGCTTTCATTTCAAAGAACTATTGTCAAAAGCATCGCTGTATGTTGACGGAGTAGCTACATGGAGCATGGTATTCACCTAACTTGCATGGATTCACTTTTGATGTTGCACCCGTGTCATCAGATACTATAAAAATACAAAATTCTGTTGACATTTTTGAAGAGTTTGAGCAACATAGGCTTTCACAAGTAGGGGAGCGTGTGAGTGGTGAAACACTCTTATTGAGTCTTCAACCTAGTTTCATACTTCATAATGCATTGCATTCGAAAATCTAGCTTACCAGTATAGTTAATACATTGGAATAACTTCTTGAAAACTTTTTGCATTCACTTCTCCTTAGGAATAACCTGATTCACTTTAGCAGCCTTTATCATGTAAGTAGTGGCTTTAAAACTCTATATGCAGGTGACCGTTGAACTGGATCAATGCTATATGCATTGAAGTCTTGCTTTGCAAAATAGATTTCCTCTTGTTCTTCTCCTTATATGAGTTCTTGGAGTCTCCGTTTGTGTTATCTTTCTGGATCTTCAGCTATAGTTGTGAGACGATCTTTATTATCAAAATTATACGTTTCAGGGATCATGCTGACTGAAGAATAAAGTCACTCTAGCGAGATCAATCTACCCCCACCATCAATGCTCAGACCTACGGATGCTCTATCTTGAGATTCGCTTTGACATAGTACCTCTATGTGCTGGTAAAAGCATAAGTTTAGCCAAAACATGATTATCATTTATCCTGTCAACATTGAGATGGCATTGAACTTGTTAATGCATATCATTCATTGTTTTTAACATTTTTATTTCACCCAAATTTAGTTTTAATTTTTGTGCAGATATAAGTATCTTATGCAATCTACTCTTCATCTCCCCTTGTTCTTGCACGTGAAACGTAGAAACATTTGTTCAGTTGGAAAATTAACGAAGTGGTAGTAAGAATGCTGCATTGCTACCTGGTGGTTTCGTTGCATTACGTAATAAACTTTGCTTTGGTTTCTCCTCCTTGGTATTTTTCGAGATCAAGCTGAGTATAATGCAGCATTATTAAGGTGGAATCTAAGATGTAATTACTATACAGTAACAGAATAAGTTTCTGTGTTTAAAATCTGTTTCAAAGGAAATGTTCTGTTCAGTATCATAGGATGCTGCATATGTACGTTGAAGTTTATCCTGTATAGATTTTCATTCTACTCATTATGTCAGTTCTCTTTTATCATTGTGTAGACCGTCTCTAGATACTTTATTTGGTTCCACTTGTTGATAAATCGCGCTCCCACTTTATGCAACTTCACAGACTGATGATCCTCATAGAACAGTAAAACATGGTCAAATAGAACTTAAGTATGATAAAATTCAAGTGATCATAGGGGGACTCCTATGGGTGTATGTTTAATGTCCCTACAACTTTTTTTTTCTCCAAACAACTCTATGAGTGACCTACAATGGCAATGTTTTATGATTATATGCTTTGAAAGGTTGAGCAGATAAAGTAGCCAAAGTGGGGAAGTGAAGGTTGTGATGATTAAGTAGACTTAAACGCTTAGTCCAGTATATATCCAAAGGATAGGAAAAAGTGAACAAACTTAAATATTTCTTAATATCAATGATTATTAGTTTGAAGTTTTTGGTCGTTAGGTTGGACTTCTTAATGGAATTTTATGCAACCTTGCTTGAAATTGTAGATATTAGATGGATTCCATGAAGACCTTTTGAAAGATAGCAAGAGGGAACTTGATGTAGTTTCGTAATCCTAGTCAATAATATGAGTGTTTTTGTTTGACTACTCGATTCTTACATAGATATTCTGATTGTGTATTCAATTTTTTTTTCCTTTGATGATTGTGATGTTCATATCAGCTTTTGTGCACCTCAATTAATTCTACAGAATATCTATTACCTTCCACCAACAATAGATATCAGATAATTATGTCCACGGGACAAATGAGAAGATTGTGTATTTAATCTTCGAGAAAATACTTGTGAGATATTGTGCTAAGAGCTAATTCACCTTGGTAAAGTAGTGTGTTTTTTATCCTACTATTCACCTAAGTCCACCATGGTGAAATTAAAAGTTAAACAACTTTTAAGGGGTTTTACCCAAGTTGACATTTAAGCTAATTGTTTAATTAGATGGAAATTAAACCTGCCGCGAGTGTTTTGGCAGTGACACTTTTGTTCTCCACTAGCTATAGCTACTAAAAGCTTCACTTAGTGTTATGTATAGATCAATAATATTTCTCCACATCTATGAAAATGCTACTCTAGCATTCTTAGTTGCATGCTATTAGGCTTAATCATCCATACTCTAATTCATCTTATTTAATATAAGAAGAAAAAAATATGTTATTTTGAGTAAGACAAAAGGGCAAATAGAATTTAATCACCTCCCAAAGATGATATATGTGTAATGATTATAAATAGGAAAATAAGAACATAGTGATGCTTTTCCCTTTTCCATTAGCTAAGCATGTCAATTATATTTGGAGTAATTCCCAACAACCTTGTCAATTTAGTTTCCATCCCTTTTTAATTTATACATACTTTAGAAGGTCCAAATCATTTTCTTGTCTATTAGTAATAATATAAAATAAAAATAAAACTTTGGAAACTCATGGAGGTGGGATTTTCCACTACAATATATCTTCACCTTAAAGCAACTTTATTTTTATGATATAACATGAGTTGTAATTATATTTATGGGACCTTCTTTGAAATCCTTTTTTTTTTGTTTTTGTTCTCATCATTCTCAAAATTTCTTACCGCACTCCCAAATAATTCAAAATGGGTGATTATGAATATGTTTGAAGAAGTCACATGCTTGCCTTAATTACTTTCTTTATTAATTACCTATCTAATCATCAAAAAGATTTAAACAAAGAACTCAATAACCTAACTCTATAATGAAATACTCCTATGTACAATAATAGATATCAACTATAAGAAAGAATAAATAATAGGAGTAATATTATTATATTATCGTTTGAGTATATTAAATATAATGCTTTAAAAAATGTAGACATTGAATAATAAGAATAAATTATTTTTTGATTAACTAAATTTAAATATGTATTATTGAGTAACTATTTTTAATATAATAAACAGATAAAAATAGATAGAGAAACAACCGGATAAGTGGGGAATGAATTTAGTTAGACTAAGGTGGAGGTAATATTAGGTTAGGGGAAATATTTTTTGACTTAAGATAAGGTCTTTCACATGGCAATTTCACTCACCTTCAAATCCTAATGATTGTGTTCTCCACTAATAGCAAAGGAAAATCGTTTTATGTAGATGAATTAAATTTAAGGGCCTACTCTCGATTTTTGTGTGTGAGAAAGATGAAAATTAGCCCTAGCATGGCCCAAAGTTGGAGGAAAGTTATGACTATGAAGTCAAACCACTAGGAGTCACCTTTAGTCATGCTTGGTTATGGTGTCTCTGTTTGGAGTTTACACTGTTCTTAGCAGCTTTTTTGTGCAGTGAAGTGGCTAGCCTTGTGGTCCTTTTTAGTACATATAGCCGATTATATGAATTTTTATTGATTATATTGTTCTTTATAATTTATTGTAATATTTATAGGTAGCTAGTGTCGATTTTTAATCATTTGGCGAATTTCATTATGCAGCGACCATCACCTTATCATGCAAAATGAAAGTAAAAAAGTATTAAAATTCATTAATATCTTCTATTATTGGAATGGTTATTTTTTTATATATATATATGAGTAAAAGATTTTTTTAAAAAGTATAAGAGTTAAAATATGAACAACTTTTTAATAGATAAGTGAGACTTGCTTAAATGGTTAAGCATTTTCGATCTTTACCATCAATTCATTAGTTGAGCTTTCGAATCACGTCGGTAAAGAATAAGTAGAAATACTATTGATTTTGTTGGACATCGTGAAAAAAAAACATTTTAGCATGACTAACATTACCATATTCTTTTTAACTTTTCACCTGTAAGTATTTTTCTAACATTTGCTACGAGTGAGCAGCGATATTAGAGTCAAATTTATCGAAGAGATTTAACTAATTCTCATCCTCAAAAAATTGTATTATGTACATACATAAATCGACAAGACTATAGTTATTTTAATCTTCTTGATAAAATTTCTTCCTTTTATTTGAGTAAGTGCAAATATCACCTAACTAATAAAATTTAAAATCTCATCACAATTCATTTCCTAGATTTATAGATAATTAAGTACTTCATTACACTCACAAAAAAACTAATTAAGTTAAAAACAAATATAGACGGACATGGCTAACAATAAATTGGACCACAATGTTACATCTATATATAGCTAGACCTCCTAACAATATACTCTTTGTTTGTTCCCTATATTTGAGTATGTGCATGGTTTTGTGAGAAGGACAAAGTGCAATGTTTTGTCGTTTATTTTATGTTATTATTAAAACTAGTTAGTTGGAAATAAAGGAACTTTTACTCTCTTTTTTTTCCTTTTCATCATATAATAATGTGTTTTAAAAGTTTGTTTTTTTGTGTTAAAAGGTTAAAGGGTTAATTGTACCTTTTTACATTTTACTTCCCCTCAGTTACAGGCATTGTAATAGTTGTATTGCTAAATTACCTTTTGGAGATGTGATTATTCCGATAATTAAGTTGACAAATGACGATTAGTGGGCCATTTAAACAAAATGTGTACTAAAAAAGAACTATAAATATGCATGCACTTAGTGAATTTCAATTTTAATATGCATCAAAACATTCTATACCATCAAATTGATCACTACTTAAGAAAAGTTTAAAATTGATGACCAAAGATGATTTTAAAAAATTGACGTACTGTAGATTTTCTTAAATATAAAGACGATGGACGGCATAGATTTGGTTTTTTTTTTCACGAGATATTCATAAAGTAGTAGCTTGTAATTGAACACGGCTATTTTACTACAACATTGAGCAATTATATCACTGAACCACATAGGTTTTTGATGAAATACTTTTAATATTTTTAATTTAGAATAAAAATATTCTTTTCGTCAGAATTTCGATTTTAATATGCGTCAAAGCATTCTATACCATCGAATTTTAATATTTTTTTAAGCAGTGGATGTGACCCATACATCACAATATTTAGTTGATCGAGACACTATTTCACCTAGTGTGTTGTAAATAAATGACATGTTAATTGAGTACTAAAGTATTTTTCCAAACAATTTCTTCTGTTCGTCATATCTCAAGAGAAAAATACATAGTTGTACATCAATTTTTTTAAATTTTATACCTAAAATATTGAGAGCGTAAGTTTTTTTATATATACTAAATCACCTAATAATTATTACGAAACTTGTCTACAAATAGTATTAAACGTTTTTGACCGTTTACTCTTCGTCCTAACATATATAACAAGTCTATTAACTGACATATTAATTTTTTATATATAAATATTTTTCAATTTGGGTGGAGAGTACATTAATTTATATAGTGATACCACGAATAATTGTGGTTTGTGATAGTTTATATTGGAAACTCACTCTTAATTATATCATGTTTAATTTTTTGTTAGGAGGTAAGTTATTTATGTATTAAATAAATATAATATTTAATTTACAACATACAAATCCACATTATAAGTTAGGGGAATTCATAAATTATTTTATGCATAATCAAAGATAGAATAACTAATAAATTTGCACACAAAAATTATAAACAATAAATTTGCCTCCATAAAATAATAATCAACATTGAAAAATATCGCAATAATCATAACATTTTATTTCAATATATAAGCGTCATAATCTCTATAAATTCAAAAACTAGCCAAGAACAAGATACATCGGACTCTTTGATAATCAAATATTTTAAGAAAATCCACAAGTCCTTTCATCATCAAGTCAAAATCATCCTAGTTCGTCAAGAAATATGTCACTAACAGCGTTGAATCACCGAATTTTTTTTTAAAAAAAAAGAATCAAGAGACAAATAGATTTGTACCTACAATGTTGGCTTGCAACATTTTTTCAAGTGATAAAAGAAATTTACAATCACAAATAAAATACGAATAATCATAAATTTTATTTATAAACATTATAGGTATGAATCTGTTTATTTCGAAGGCATAAGGAACAACAATTGTTATTGAGAGTTCCCATTAGGAGGAGGACATGCTCTATG